CCATCCCTTTGGTAGGATTGTTCTTGCACTCAGTTTCCACTAGCCATTCAAGCATTTGCATTTTTGAACATGGCATACAGAGTGCTGTTACTAATTCCTTACACTCCCAAACTCATTTAAACACTTTGAAAACCTTTCTTTCTCTAACACAAACAAGTCAGCCAGATGCACATGGAAAAGAAGGGGGAAAAAAATTCCACTAAGACATGGGCTCTTCGGCGAAGCCCACATCTTATCTATCTCCCATCCCCTCTTTGTGCCAGTTTTCAAAGAAACTGAAAAGTTGTTACGGACTCAAACAACGTTTTAAGTCTTCAACCTACAAAGCTCTCATGGTAAAATTCACCCCTCCGGTGGGCATGCCTGGGATTTAAGGAGACAAGTATTTTTAGATTGCTCTTAGGGCTCCGGAACCAGTTGCTCTAAAGTGGCCAGGAGCCGTGGTCTATACTCACTTTGCAGATTTCTGGCTCTTTTTCAGGGACTAAGGTTTATTTGCAGAAATGAATCATTTCCTTCCAAATATCCCTCACCCTATTTACATGCTTGCATATTCTTTCCATTTTGTTTTCCCCCTACAGCTTCACTAAGGGAATTAATTATCTAAAAGAACAGGAACATACAGTAAGTACATCTGAGATACAGGATGAGACACAGTATGTCATCTATTAGGCCTGGCTAAGACCAGCAGCTGATGCTAAATGGGAAGGAACATGCACCAAATGTTTTTTAATCACAAAGTTAGTAATTAATTGCTCTTTAAAATACATTTTATGCTTCTTTCTGTCTGTGTACATGAAATGCACATTTATTACATGCCAAAAATTACAACATTATGGTTTAAATGTGACTGGCACGGAAGTCCGGAAATCAGAGTTAATGTTCCCACAGCAACTTTAATTCTGTCCGTGTGCACATGTAGAGCTATAATAGTCTTCCGTTCTAGGAGAATACATATCGATGATTTGGGAAGGAAGGCTAAAGACCCATATCCTCAACTGTAGTTACAGGAAGCAAACAAAGGATAAAAGCTGTGCTCCTTTCCACATATGTGGAGAAAAACAATGTCCCCATGCCCTGTGTTGTGTAATCAGGGAATGAAAGAATCTGCTGTGATGCCGGCACTCAAGGGGACAGTTTCTGTTGCTGTGGGAACCTGAACTTTGCATTTCCTGACTTTGGGGTAATTAAAATGTCAGCCTTAATGTGGCATTAATGGAGTTTGCCATAAAAAATCCTCTTTGTTTTGTTCTCAAAAAAAAAATTGCTTAAAAGTTTAAAATGAGCCAAGTGTACTAAAAGCAATTTTAATCACAGGGACTTGGAGGGGTGAAATGAATGGTTGGAGGGGTAAGGGGTAGAGTAGGGTGAGGCTGACGAAGGTGATGGCAAGAGATGGGGAAGAAGAAGCCCACCCATCTCCTCAAGAGGAGTCGGCCCAGCAGCGTCACACTACCTCCAGAGCTAAAGTTATACCCACCCACACGACAGTTTGGTAATGTGTAAAGGTTAAATTAAAAATAAATAAAAACTGTTAATGTGTAAGTGCATCTTGGCAAGGACACAAAAATGAGACAGTCAGATGAGGCTGGTGCAAAACATGAGAAGAAGGTGAATAACCACAGCTATCAGCTTCTAACCCAAGGAAGGCATCCCAACAGGACGATCTCCAATTACAAGCAGATAGGACCACCAAAGCGGGGAGGGTCCCTTCTTCTTCTGCTGAGAGGCTAATTTGTAGGGGGAAACAAAACGGAAGGAATATGTATGTCAAAGTTCTGGTTGCGTCTATCACATGGATACAACTGTGATGTGCTACAGCTTGATAGTTGTCAAGGCAAGTTTTCAATATGGAGCGCTTCATCTGCTCCCCTGACTTGGTTCAGTCCTGCAGAAGCCTTTAAAGGCACAGCTTGGCTTGGTGTACACTCAGCCTGCTCTGCATGTAACCATTCTGTCAAATACCTATGGTGTTTGTACCCTTTGTGTCCCGAAACTCATCTTAATACCTTCCATTAGCATCATCTGAATTTGTCTGCCTTAGATTTCTGGAGATGGCAAAGAGGTGACAAGCTAGGCAGTAATGGGGAAATATTGCTAAAACGAATTCTGTTAGTGGGTGCACTGTGAAGCAGCACAGCTTTTAGCAGCAATTGGAAGCCCATCATCTCACAAAGGGATGCATACCTAGACTCTAGTCCTTGTTTTCCATATTTCTGGCGGCTTTTGCCAATTTCGAAGCAGCTCAGCATGTGAAATCAGCTCAGAACTTAATGGGTCAGACTCGTGCTTTCTGCTCTAAAACATAGCCATATCCTTTGTATGTGGGTTACCCACCCTTACCAGTTCTCACGCAGAGCTGACTTTTCTTTTATGGGGATGATTTATTCTTTGTGTTTTACAACCAAGTCACCAATATGAGGAGTTGCACATTTTCAAGATGTCTGTTTAGAGCCAGGAATGCCATCTTTGGGCTTGGAACAGAATTCTGGCTGCTCATAGGGAGAGCAAATCCAGAAGCATCCCTCAGTACCTAAATGAGTTCACGGTGAGCAAGCCATTCATCTATCTAGGTGTCAATTTTCTCAGTTTTCTCATCTGCAAACTGGGAAGAATCATACTGACTGACAGGAAACTGGCATTAACGGACGACTATGAATAATTTTGCGAAACACACGACAAACAAAAAAAGTGCTATAAAAATTCGGCACTTGTGAAAGCTTGGAACACCACACACTGGTGGAATGTTGCTGAAGTTAAAGAGACTAACAAGTCAAGGGCACTATTTTTAAATGCCCCAAATCTGTTAGTTCTAAATAGAAATGGAATATTTTACCTTAAAGAAATTAGGCTTTTAAATTAATCTATGGTAAGAATGACATTTGAAAGTAAAAAAGAAAAAAGAAAAACAAAACAAAACAAAAGAAAAACCCTCTTGAATGCAAGAGCATCCAAAAAATTTAACAGCTTAAAATAAACCTCTTTCCTGTCTTCTCTCAAGCAATTTCCAAATGGACAGATTTCTGTGAATCTTTCCTAAAAACAAGTTTCTTCTAAGAGTAGGCTCAAATCAGGACAAACTACAATCCAAATATATTTGGAGAAAAGTATAATGAATTTACACAACAGGTTGGAGCACAGGAGACTCACACATCTTAATGGCAAAATCAAACTGGGTTTCTAAACAGCTGGAAATGAGGCTGCTCCTCCCAAGCTGGTATCCCCCCTGCAATCAGATACGCCACTGAGTTCTGACCCACTGGCTTCCTCAGGGTCACCAAGGAACCAGATGAGGACACCATATTTGTACTGTTAGCTTAAACATGAGCCACGCTAATGCCAAGGCTTAACCAGAGGAGGCTTACAATAATGTGTAATAAAGAAAGAGCAGTGCCTTTTCTGTTCAGCAAAGCATTCATTCTGGTGTCACGGAAGACTTCTAGGGTAAGGCCATTCTATGTGCTCTTTGCCATAAGATGTGGCTAAAAGCCAGACAAGGAAGGTCTGCATGCGAAAGCTCCAGGCCCTTCACCACAGGAGTGGGCCACCTTCCTGGCAGGTGGGGACAGCAGGCACATGTCTGTGGGCACCGTGCCATCCTGTTTTTCAAGTCTTCCTGTAATTACCATTAGGCTGGAGACTGCCAAGCAAGAAGGTCCAAGATGCTACACAGGGCACGATCCCTGCTTCTAAGCCCCAAAGCCACGGAGATCTGGATCTCATTACTTCTCTGTTCATTTTCTAGTGACAGCTGGAGAGAAGTCTCTTGCCAATCCCAGGTAGAACAAGCTCTCTTCACCCTCACCCCATCCCTAGGTCTTCTCCTTTTATCCAGATACTATTAGGCTAAAAGCTAATAGAGAACAGACTCTCTTAAGATCTATTCACCCCTTGCCTTCTTTGCAGAATTTTCTATTTCTTCTGTCAAAAAGATAACAGTAGGAGATGTAGAATCTCATTTCCTAATTAATATTTCTTATCTTGTAGATGGGAAAAATGAAATCTTTTTGTGAAATAAAATTTCCTTCTCTTACTCATTCTAAGTAAGTATATGCCAGCTCTTTGCTTATTTCCAGACAACCTTTAAGGAGATCAGTTTAGACGAGTTGTTGGGAATCTTTAGATTAAAGAGAATTTTCTTTGATTGGACCCCCTAGTAATATTTCATTCTTTCTCATGTCAACACATGGGAAGTCCTGGGTTATGTATGTTTTGGAAAGAGGGAAAAAAAATCTACAATGTAATTTATCAACTTTCTTAAAATAGAATTTGAAGAAGTAACCCCCAGATTAGTGAGAAGATGATAAAAAATAAATAGTAAAGGAGTGATTTCAATAGTGACGATCTCATTAAGTTGCCCATTTCCAAATTTAGCCTTTAGGCAATTTTTTTAATTAAAAAATATTTTTAACCTGAATTCTCATTGGCTCTGTGAGGTCTGGGTGGCTTTTGAATTCTTGGAACCCATTCTCTTCTCTTCTGTAAATTTATGCTATCCTTTAACCACTTCAAAATAAATTAAAAACTGGAAAGACAGAAATCCAGCCAAGCGACATGAGACTCCAATAACTAATGCAAATCTGACTTGTGTTATGTAATTTCAGAATGGCCATTTCCTTGTGTTTAACTGGCCTGCCGCGGTCTGTATTTGGCTGTTCCAGGCAATAACAGTGGAAGGGCCGTTATTCAGATCAGGAATAATGAGAAAGCAGTAATACAACTTCTTTTTTCTGAGTTTATGCTCGGAAAGCAAATGTGTTTCATGCAATTAATCAGCCTTTTGAGGGCAAATGGCTGGCCACCTGGCTTAAAAAAAAAAAGACGCTGGCTCCACACATCTAGGGATGTTGGCTGGATCAAAATGGTGGCACATTACTTCTGGCTACTTTAGAAGACCAAATGCAGACACAGCTTTCTCTGAATACAGAAAAGCCAGAGCCCAGGGGCGAGAACTGATCCAAGCCCCTGCCGAAGACACTGCCACCTTTTGGTGTACTCACAATCAGATGACCCGGTGTGAGCGTGAGAGTTTGTCAGTGAATGTGTTGAGTGGATGAGGGCTGGGTCTGGAGACAAAACAGCTTCAAAGTTCAGGCAGGGAAGGCCCGGCTTGGCGCTGGATCCACCCGGCTGAGTAATCTCATTCTCCTCAGATGCCTTCTGGTTTTCAGCTGTCTTGGGTTTCTTCCTGAAAATAAACAAAGGGCCCTTTGAAGGAACTGACTGCAGATTTGGGAAAAGGCATTTTTAGAATCTGTTAAAGATAACTTGATTTTTTTTTTTTCCTGAGGGGGGATGGGAGGGAGTCCAGCATGTCCCCTGTTTTAAAACAAGCTGATTCTTGTTTTTTTTTTTTTTTTTTTTTCATTCCTCTCCCTCCTGCCCCACCCCAAGTACTGGCCTAACTGGGAACACATGAAAGCATATGGGCCAAGCAAAAAGCACCACATTTGGACTCTGTTGGCTGCATAAAAAGACCCTGTCCCAGAACTTCAGACAGCTTGAGCTTCGTATGGTTGACATTATCCAAGAAAGCATCCTTCCCCCCACCCCCAAAGAGTTTTAACATGGCCTGGAAAAATATGAGTGGAGGTTTACCGTTCTAGCATTTGTCAGGAAGCTTAGAGACAGGACCCGTGGAGTAATGGGAGGAGCACTGGACTGGGAGTCAGGAGACTTGAGCTACTGTACTAGCTGTGCCTCTAATTTGCTGTGTGGCCTTGGGCACCTCACTTCACCTCTCTGGGCTTCAGTTTCCTCATCTGTAAAATAAAAGGCTTGCATTAGAAGGTCTTAATTTCCTTCCAGGTTTACGTTTATATTCATGAAATACAACACAGAACATTCAACTTTGTCGTTGTTATTTGGTTTTATGTTACAGCAATACATACTTTCAAATCACAAGTTTGAAGGCTGGACAGGTGAGAGGGATAGTGATGGAGGTTCATGCTACAGTAGCAAATAAAAAGAGCTTAGACTTCTAGTAGAGAAATGAGGAAGTCGTCACATAGAGACCATCTATGTTTTTCTTACCCTGTTTTTTTTTTTTTTTAATTTGGGGTATCATCCTGGAATTTAAAGATCTGCTTGGCTGTTTGGGTGTGAAAAAGATTGGTAAAGGGATATAGAAAGAAATTGTTACTAGCTGTTCTGTAGGGTGAGGAATAGGATGTGGGTCAGCTCAGGACTCTTCTCCCCCACACAATGCAATTGACAATAAATTAATAAATGGTTAGCTTATACCACATGCACCATAGACCCCTGCCAAATAGGATCATTAGTTCCTGAACATTTTCCCAATTTCCTTGGCCTTGTGCCCTTTTCTATCATGATGTGGACAGTGACCAGGAAAGCTTTGTGCATGCACGTGTGTGTTAGAAGATTATGTGTGTTACCTAATTTGTTGTAAGTAAATTTGTTTCCACATTTCCCTTGTTTCTATGAGCATGGCATTGGACTTGTTAGAATATTTTGTATTGAAATTTGTTGTACTGGGGTAGTGAAATCTGCCCTCGCAGAATATGGTGTTATGATTAGTATGCTGTGTTTTTGGTCCAACAGGTTGTGAAATCAAATCTGTTTCTTCAGAGGGCAGGAGGCAGAAATGGCATGGAAAAGATTAGAACAGAGAGGCACTTTCAGGCATCTTTTTCAGTATGGAGGAAGCCAATACAAGAGAAGCAACAAATGACAACGCCTCACCAACTGTTTGTTGCGTGAGTGACTGCGGGGATTAACCCCTAAACCTTGGGTGAGTGCATGGACCCTTGGGACCTGTAATCCTGGTTATCCATTTAAGGAGCTATTGCAGAACATAGTCTGCACAGCACAACTCCTCCCTTCCACGAAAACCAAGGCCGCCCCTCACGTTCCTATTTCGTTCACAGCTAACAGCCACCAAGTTGAAAGCATCAGGGTCATTATGAACCTTTCTCTCCTTTATAGATAACTTCTCAAAAGTTCTCACACTTAAGCTCCCATCTTGGTTTTTCTTAACAGTGCTTCTTTTCCAATTCCACTGCAGCCACCTTGCTACACTTGGTCCAGGCTACAGCTTACTGACTCTCCACCCTCCATGACTCGTCTGGTCCTGCTTCTTTGAAGTCACTAAACACGAGATGGCTATGTAAAGCTGACACTCCGGGTCAGTTCCAGGTCTGCTCTTATCTCACATGATCCGTTAGGTTGACCTTCCTGGCTTCTCAGACCTCAAGTATTTCTGGAACACCTTGGAAGTCTATATCACTGCCTCTCCATCTTTGCTTGACATATTTCTCTTGCTTTATACACTCCCTTCTCCCATTGCTATCTGTTGAAATCACTTATCCTTTACATGCGCTAAATGTTGTCTCCACTTGGTGTCTTGATTCCCGTCTACTGAATAAGACTTCTCTCCCTCCCCTCCTCTCTCCCTCTGTATCTCTGAAATTTTTCCATCTCATTCTCGGAAATCGCCACTTCTTGCTAATCTTATAATATTCAATACATTTTATTTCAGTAAAGGTTCTTTGTGTGTTTGTCCCTCCTGAGACTCTAAGCTCTCTGATGAGAAGGAAATGCCTTGGTTTGTCTTATATTCCCTGAGTTTATTCATTATTACCTGCTTCTTTCCCCCATCAGTTATTTATTCACATCTGTATATAACAAGTAAGTATTTTGTGCCTATCATGAGCCAATTTGGTATAGGGAATATAACAAGCCTGTGCTACCCTCCAAAGTTTACTGTCAACACTTTTAAGCACGGACAAATCTGCCACTCGTTAATCACCTATTGATGAAATGTAATGGGAGAAATTCAGTTTCCCACTCTTTATGCAGTAGACAAATCTGCCTCGACTTGCAACTTTTCTTGCACTCCAGGAAGGGCACTGAATAGGAATAGGAATATTTTGCTCAGGATGGCTGGGCTGATCCTCATTATTCAGTTAAAGATAGGGACAAAAGAGTAAGAACAGATATCCTTTAGGGAAAAAAAAATTTATTGCTAATGCTTATAGTTAGGTGCCAGGCCAGTTTTGTGTTATACAAGATTTATTTACTCACTTGAAAGGCAGGCAGAGAAAGACAGAGAGAATAATACATGTGATCTTCCACCTGCGAATTTACTTGCCAAATGCCTGCAATAAACTGGGTGTAGACCAGGCCAAAACCTGAGGCCAGAACTCCAGCTGGGTCACCTACCTGGGTAGCAGGAACTCAAGCACTTTGGGTCATTATCTGCTGCCTCCCATGTGCATTAGCAGGATGCTGGATTGGAGGCATGGAGCAGCTGCGAACCAGGCACTCTGATACGGTATGCAGGCACCCCAAATGTCCTAAACAGCAGCATAATCCACTTTTTTCTCACAACACCTACTTCATGGCTAGTTTTAGTGCTTTTCAAAATCAATCAAAGGGTCTGTCACATAAGAGTGCATGACCAAAACACCAATATTAATCTTCTTTAAAAATTTATTGCAAAAAATTACATTGTTCTCTACCGTGTAGTCACTGCCTCCCTTCCTACATGTGCTATTGCCTTGTACCTGACATCTTGCAGGACTCTCCCCTGTTTGTTGTCTTAGGGATTACTTTTGGAGAATGTTCGCAGTGCAGTTATTGGTGCTGCCTCTAACAGGAAATCATTTCCCCCTCATTTGCCTGTTATCACTTTACTCATCCTCAGCTCACCGGGCAGCTACCCAGTTGCAGAGATAACAGAGAGTCACCCCCTGTCTTTAGAAGCAAATCTATTTCCCCATCTCACCTTCCCTAATAGTGCTTATGGATTCCTTTCTCTGGAGCTGAGAAACCCTAAGGCATGGCAGCAGGCGATGCTGGACACACACAGGTGCTGCTACTTGACCCCTTTGTTGCAGTGCATAGCTTGTGAAGGAGAAACGGAATAATCCTTGTGGTAATTAAGTGAAAATTCCTTCTTTGGTTGTACAAAATGAATTTTGTAAACATGGCACACAGAGGGCAGAGCTCTCCAAGCCTCTGTGACTGTGCACTATTCCCCAGAGCCTTTAGAGGGCAGCAGTATACCGGCTGACTCCAGGCAGCCTTCCAGAGAGGCAAGCTCCCCACCAGACCAGAACCTTCCTCCTGGTCACCATGCCAAAGGTTGGTTGCCAAGCTCTGGCCTCTTAGTCTCTTTCTTTTCAGAGTGCTTGCTTGCTCTCTCTTCTCTCCTCTCTTCTCTCTCTCTCGTTCTCTCTCTCCTCTTTTTCTCTTTTGCTGTTAAAATTATACACTCTGATGAAGTCACCCCTCAACCGGAAAATGAAAGGTCCAATGAAAAAGTTAGACCAGCCAACAACAACAAAGAGAGAAAGCAGGGAAAAGGGGAAAGGGGGCTGGTGAGGGGGAAGGACTTAAGAACAAGAAAAGGGCAGATGTTTCGTAAATATATGCAAAGCAAACTGGGTGTACCCTGAACGCTTCCACAGAGGAACAGACCAATCATTGTGCACTTCCTCCCGCCACATTGGTGCAGTTCTGCATTCAAAAAAATAAAAAGGGAAAGAGACAGAGAGAAAGAGAGAGAGGACGAAAGAAAGAAAGAAGTGTGTGGCCTCAGGCAGCCGCCTTTCAAGGGTCAGTGCTGACATTTTGACAGAACATCTCCCGATTGTCCAAAAAGAACAAAAACATTTTCATGTCCTCACTGCAAACATTTCTGTTAGGAGAAAAAAAAAAAAAACAACTGCTTCAGGAACCAGGAAGGCTTTTTGAGGTGACTGGCAGCTGAGTTAGCCAGCAGAACCTTCTGATTCTTAACTCTCAGGATGCTGGCCCTAGCAACAAGTTTTGGGCTGAAAACTAGCAGTGAGTACAGCTGTGGAAGATGTTGGCGCTTTCCTATCCAGAGCATATTGTATGTAGAAAGAAATGTGTACTCAAACATATTGATGAGATGAAAGGTATTAAATATGGGAAGCACAGGGAAATTAACTGGGCCAGTGGTGTTTGATATACAGATTTCCCGTTCCTTGCTGCATAGTGCACATACGCAGGGAGGACAGTGCGTCCTAGTGCGAGCTCTTATCTGTCGCAGGGAGGCAGGGTGTGGAGGAGGCGTCTTATCAGAGGAGAGTGTCCTCTTCTTCCCCCTTCTACTCATTTTGTAAAAAAGATTTATTTTATTTTTATTGGAAAGTCAGATATACAGAGCAAAGGAGAGACAGGGAGAAAGATCTTCCATCCGATGACTCACTCCCCAAGCAGCCATAATGGCCAGAGCTGAAGCAATCTGCAGCCAGGAGCCCAGAGTGTCTTTCAGGTCTCCCATGTGAGTGCAGGGTCCAAAGGGCTGACTTTGACCACCTTCCTAGACCACAAACAGGGAGCCGAATGGGAAGCAGGGTCGCAGGGATTAGAACTGGTGCCCATATGGGATCCCGGTGCTTGCAAGACAAGGACTATAGCAGCTAGGCTACCGTACTGGGCCCCCCATTCTCCCTGTTTTCTCTCCTCGTTCGGCTACTACCCTGTGCTTCAACACACCTTCCCCTTGTAATCCCAGTTAGAGAAGAAAGAATTAATCAGAATCACCTTTTGATAAGTAATTACGCAGTCACTACATCATAATCATTTACATCGGTGATGCCTCCCAGTCTTTATGGAGTGCTGTTTTCTCACCCTCCTCCCCAACAACACACGGAACAGGCCCCGGAGAAGGTCTGAGCAGGGGAGAGAGCTCATCTCCACTGACCTAGATATATCACCCAGCATCTCTGATCCCTATATTTTCATTTTCCCCTTCATTAAAATTGGGATAATCATTCCGGCCTCTCAGGTGGGTGAGGAACAGTACCCAGCCTGAAGCTGGCATGGAGGAAGCACTTCATTATGATACCCCTCCCCGCCTTTCAAAGATGGCATTTCTTGTTTTCATCATGTTAGCGACAACAACACTTGTTTTATTTCAGTTGCCTTTCTTAATATCTACATTTAAGGACAGGGGCAATGGATTGTTACTGCAGCAAAGGCAGAAAGAACGTTACTAAGCAATCTGTCCTCAACACTCTGCCCTCACCGCATTATCCTCCCGACATCCTCTTTCTGCTCACAGGCTTCTTACTGCTGCAGTTACTCCAAGAGCTCCTCCAAGTCGAGGGTCAAGCAAGCTGCACTTGGCCTATAGAAGCCCATCGAGCCAGAGCATTCTGTTCTATTCACTGAAACCAACCTATGGCACTCTAGCCTATCATATTTCCTTACAATTTATCCTTTCACTACTTGGCCTAATGTTCTCACATCAAATCAAAATGTTTTCATGATTAAAGCATTTTATTCTTTCAATCGTTTCATGTTTTTTTTTTTTTTTAACCTTCTTGGCATGGCTGAATTAGAATGTTTTCCAGTGTGTTTTTTCCCGTTGTATCAGGCAGGATCCTGGCGAGAAACAGACAGCACTCACAAAGGTTTTCATCAGAGAGTGTTTAGGCATAAGATCGTATTCAGAAGTACACATGAGGTAAAGGGACCCTTAAGGAATGTGAAGCGCGGCAAGCAACAGCACGAGGCAGATGTCAGCCTGAAACAAATGACCCTGAAGGGTTTAGTTGAGGGTTGAAGTTTCTTAAATCCAAATTTGGGATTTAGAAAAGACTACACTAAATAGCCTGAGTTCTCTCCTCCCATTATTGCCTCTCCTTTTGGCCACCTGCAGGAGGAATCCAGAGGACAAGGAAGCCTGGGCCCAAGGGTTGGTGTCCTGGGTCACACACATCAGGGCAGGGGGCTGGGGTTTAATGAGGGGTGAGGAAGACTGGCAAGGCTCATCAGTATGCCTAACCCATGTCTTACCTTCTTTCCTTCCCTTAACTTCAAACCAAATCAGTTTTCTCCTTGGCTTCCTTATGTGGGATTTGCCCATATATAAAGCAAGAAAACTGTTCAGAAGCGCAGGGGCTTTTCTTTTGCTGGTACCTAGAACAGTGCCTGGCACATAATCAAAGCTCAGGAAATTTTAGATGAGGGAGGAGTGCCAGCCATTGTCTACACATCATCTCATTTAATTATCACAACAAACTGAGTAAGTAGGCCTAACTGCTGAGCATGGTTGTGTAGACAGTGTAGGGGTGTTTAAATACAACACTTCCACCCACTTCTACCTCAAGCCTTGAGACCAGGCCTGGAGTAATATCAACCCATAGGAAGGGATGTGCTCTTGCCAACAGTTCAGTTTCGTGCTACATCCTCCTTGTTGATTTTTCTACCTAAACATCCTAGTAGGTTTTTTATTATTTCTCTTTTATATAGAAAGAAACTGAGTTTTGAATGATAGAGACTATGAGGATTATATCCCAATCTGTTCATTCTCTAGGACCATTCTCTCCATCCATTGAGAAATAACAGCAAGCACCGCCATTCTGCACAGGTGAGAGAATCCCTGTGGCAGAATCCGATGCTTACTTGGGGGCTTCCTGGTCCTGATTTCTGGATCCAGGTTCTCTGCAGCACTGGAAGGTAGAAGTAGTAAGGCTTTTCCTCCCTCTCAAAGAATACAGAACCTTTGAAACGTTATTGAGAAAATCAGAAAACTATAAAGATACAGGGATTTCTATCATACTTCTTGTACTTGAATTTAAGGGTAAAAGGAAGATAGTATTATATGCAAGTTCTTAGAATGGTTATATTCTAAAGGAACTATATATTTTAAAAAATAAGTTATTTCTTGAAAATTTTAGAGATGAGAAAAAGGAGAAGGGAGAAAGCAGAAGAGAGAGGGAGGAGGGAAGAAAGGAGAAGCAAGAGAGAGAGTGTGTCTGTGTATGTGTGTGTGTGTGAGAGAGAGACATATGCATTAGTTAACGGCCCAAATGCTATCAACTTTGAACAGCCATGGCTGGGCTAGACTGATGCCATGACCAAGGAACTGAATCATGGTATTATGGGCACAAGTAGTTGAATCATTATTTGCTGTCTCCCGGGGTATACATTAGCAGGACGTTGAAATGGAGAGCAGAGCTTGGACTTGAACCCAGTAAGAGCTGAGGGCTTCTGAACCGATGTCTCAACCAATGGACCAAATGCCCACCCCAAGAAACTCTTTGATTTCTGTTGTATCTTTGGTTCCCAGTCCTTGATCCTGTTGATTTCCACTCCCACTATGGCCAGCCAGGACTGCCTATCACCTGCACATCAGCTACCGTCAAGTGGAACTCAGGAGACTGAAAGCATTAGAGATTATCAAAAAATAACACAAAATAAAATAAAACTCTAGTTTAATCCCTTTGGGTTCAATTTATGGCAGAACAACTAAAGACATAGAAAATAGGAATGCAAAAGTCCTACCTGAAGCCTAAGAGAGGTGTTAGACTCCCGGGTTTAGCGTTTCCAGTAAGAGACGTCTGTAAAACACCATCCCATTACCTGCCTCATACCATATAGGAAAACTTGTAAATACAACATCTAAACGACTTTGCATTGGATAATGTGTCATTAAGTGATTTTGCATGCACAGCCTCTAAATAATTCAAATTTCTGGCTTTCCTAGTGGGAAAAAAGCATACAGTCATCTGTTATTTCTAGCAGTGTTTAATGAATACTTGATATCCGTCTTTCATTGCTATTTTCCTGAAGGTATCATGTCTTATATTATAACTTATTTCTGAACCTTTTTATGTTTTTACTTCTTGTACATGAATGCCTGACATGGAGGAACTAAGCCAACTGCCCAGAGCCATGCATCCAGTGTGCAGAGCTGAGCTGGGTACAGGCGCTTTGGAGATGCGACAGAAGAAGCCCAGAATTCCAAAAGGAAAGTCTTGGCTCCTTGGAGCAGCAAGGGGACAGTAGCACGGGGCTGCAACTTGGGCAGCAGACAAGCAGGGAAAACAAGGCTGGCTCATGGGTTTGTTCCAGCTAGCATGAAATGATGAGCTATCTTAAGACTCAACAGAGTGGTGCAGACTGGTGATTTGAGCTGCGACCATTTCAGGCAAAGGTGTAAACGTGCAAGCAGCACAGCACTAGTCTCTGCAAGCGTCTCATATCTAGCTCAGCACAGTCAGTGCACAAAAAAGGAATGAAGTTGCTTTGAGCACACACTGGAAGCTGAGAACTGCTGCTGGCACTTCAGGTCTAAGTCTGATTATCCAACAGATGCAGCCATCTAAAATTTCACCTGCTTTTACAATTGAGTGTATGTGTGTGTGTGTGTTTTAATTAAACAGAGTGAACTAAGAAGCCTTTCACGGGAAACATAATGTACTCACAGTAGTTTCCAAGTCAGTGGTGTCACTCTTCAGGTAAATCACTCCAAGGTTGGGGCCTAGTGCAGATGTTCATTGGGGCAGGGAATGGAGAGCGATTGCATCTGGAACAGAAAAGAAGCAAACAAAGGCAAGTTTATTGCAGGAATTGGTGGTAGAGATGGCAGTTGTTTTATTTTGGCAGAGAACCACGGGTCTTGTCTGTCTGGGCGGTACTGCACCTCTATAGAGGCAAGGGGAAATGCAGGGAGGAAGATCAGAGGGTGCTGCCCAGGTCCCATTTCCAGCATGTCCACTGGACCTGCCCACACAGTACGAGACACCAACGCACCTGTTGGTGCAGCTGGGGCTGATTTTCATGGCTTTGATTTGGAAAGAGTTGGGACTGGGGATGGGGTGACAGTGGCCTTCAACCTCACCACAGCTGTGTTTTCAATTGTTCTTTCTCCTGATTGCACTTCTTTAGAGTTGACAAATAGAAACCATGACAGTTTATGTTGTGCAGAATGATGACCTAATACATGCATTCACTTTGGAATGGCTAAGTTACATACATACTGTCCCACCTACTTACTTTGGTTGTTTGTGTGTGTGTATGTGTGTACACATGTTGTGAAAATATTCGAAATATACTCTCTTGGCAACTGTCAGTCTATAATTACATGAGCCACCACACTATACACACACTAAGTCAGTCTCTGAACTTAACTCTTTCAGTCTAATGGGAAGTTTCTATTCTAATAATCGTCTCCTCAGCTTATAGTAACTACCATTATGCTCCCTGCTTCTGGGAGTTCACTTTCTCTATTTTCCACACATGAGAGGGACATCATGTGGTATGTGTCTTTCTGTGTCTGCTCACTTCATTTAACCTAATGTCTTCCAGGTTCACCTACGTTGTGGCAAAAGGCAGCTTTGCTTCTATTCTAAGGCTGACCATTCCACGCTGTAGTAGGCCCTACATGTTAGTATTTGTGATTCTACTTCGAGAATTTTCCTCTTTATTGTACATTCCTATTCATTCTAAAGACACCCACTGACCTGGCTGCCTTCTGTGCTCTTGGATTCTCTCCACCCTTCACTGCAGTGTTCCCATTAACTTCCAGATGTTCTAACCCTGAGACGTTCCAACCTGAGGAACTGAGCTGACCATTGTCTAACAGCCTCAAACGTTGTGAATTTTCCCCAGGCTTCACTCAGTGCATATTTCTACCTGTTCATGTTCTTTCTCCTTTTCCCTCAATATAGACATTCTTTAAGCTTCTCCTCTCAGGCTTTGTCTATACCCACCCCCCTTGGCATCAGCAATCTCTTCTTACAAAGCATCCATATTGCTGTCTTAAGATCCTGAGTGCCACAGAGGTCTCAACTGATATATGACATAACAGCTGGTTACTGGAACATTCATTCACTTGTTCTTTCACTAAAGGTTCACACAGCAACTATTAAGCACCTAGAAAAGGTGCAGAAGACAGGATCTCCTTCTCTCTCTTCCTCTTTAAAAATTATTTATTTATAATGAAAAATCAGATTTACAAAAAGAAGGAGAGACAGAGAAAGATCTTCTGTTTGCTGGTTTACTCCCCAAGTGGCCACAACAGCTAGAGTTGAGCTGATCCGAAGTGAAGAAACCAGGAGCTTCTTCTGGGCTCCCATGCAAATGCATAGTCTTTAGGCTTAGGGCCTTCATCCTGGTGGATATAGGATAAGGGTTTTAGCCATTAGGGTACTGCACTTGGCCCATGATTTCTAACTCTGAGAAACTCATAGACCCATCAACTACTACACAGGCTCCTTTAATCCAGAAATCCAAAAGCATAATTAATTAGTTCCTTCTCCAGACTCCCCTTGCATACAACGGGCATCAACCTCATCCTGTTCCTAGGGCCTACAATTGAGGAGCAATCCTTAATTCTCTCCTTTTACTTTTTTCTTTTTTTTCATTCCTATAGACAAAAAGTTGCTTAATTCTATGGTGTTTACTCTGGTTATTTTCTGAATAATATTTCTGCACCAATGTGTATATATTCTTTCATACCTACTGCTACAATTTCCGTGAAACTGTTCTAACTGCCTTTTTTTCTAGTTTCTCTTTATCATGAGACAATCTTTCATACCAGCATTACACTAACGTTTCTAAACTACCATCCAAAAAACAACCTTCTACTACTCACTAAATTTCACTATTTCTCAGTTTGACATTCAATGTTGCTAAACCATAGCTTCAGTCTAATTCCCCACTCTCACCTGTATAGTCCATCTTTCCTCCAACAAAACTGCACTCTTTCCCAGCTTGTTCATGGCATTTCTTCCCCGCTTCAGTGTCTACATATAGCTCCCTTAAGGTCATTAACTGCTACCTCATATATGAAGTATTGTCCGAAGGAAGTGTCCTTCTTGAACCCTCACTGCATGTTTCTATCAACTAGTAATGACTTGTGTAATGTGCCATTCCCCTCTACAAGCTCTGTGATAGGACAGCATTTTTACTCTGCATACTGTTGTCGCTCAGTAATGTACACCAAAATGATGGCCTCAGAATCAAAGTTTCTCTATGATCTCCTGCTTCCTCTTCTGACCTACCTTGTCTGAGAGTATATCAAAAGGTCTCTATTTCAGAAGGGGTTCTGCCCCATACCTGAGAGGGAGAAATGCTGCATGGAGGAGGCCAGGAAGAGCCTTAACAGACAGGCCCTGTTGGGTTTCGCTTTCTCAGTCTATTAGCAGGCAGTCACACCCTTTTTGTCCAATCATATTGCTACATGAGTGTTCACACTTTATTAAATATAAGCACAAAATAGGTAGTGCACCATGAGTCTTTAGATCTTCAATCCAAAGACTCCTGAGTCACATAAAACTATGATCAAATAAATTTGTGGTGCTTTTTTCTTCTAAACCTATCTTTTGTTATAGGGTTGTTGGCCTTGATATTTTATGATTTATGGGAAAGGAATCATCTTTTTTTTTTCCCCTCTCAAGTACCTGTGGTGTGCAGTGCCTTGTATACAAGTTTGCTCTCAGCTGATGTCTGCTGAACCAACTTTAAAAAGAACAGTCTTGCTTACAGTCATGGAAAGTGAGATCCAAATTGGAAAGACTTTAAAGTTCAGTCCCCTCATTTCTCAGATGAAGAGATTATGAGATCTGACTTGACCAAGGCCACATGCTTATTAGTGGCTGAGCACAAATAGCTGATATAAAAAGTCACAAATCTCCAAACATCTATCAGTGATTACTTGGCACAAAAAAATTCCAGCAACAGTGAGTAGATTAGACAGAGAGAGGTTGGGGTGCATAGCTTATAAGCAGATACCATATTCCAAATAATAGACACATTTCCTTTATTAAAAACAAAAGTGCTTTCTAATATGACCAGCAGAAATAATTGTGATAATATTGTAAATACCATGGGAGTGTTAACTCAGGCTGAAAATCAAAAAGAGGACATTTTGCATGTTTTGGAAATGTTGAGGGTTTAGCTAGAATGATTGGTGGGGCCTGGAGGAGGCCTTCTACAGCTTCAACTCACTAATGGGTAGAAACACAGACATGGCCATCCTGCTACTCTGTTGCATAGCTCCCTCTTCCCCACCTAGTTTTCCCCAATTCATCCCCTAGGTTTGTTTATATTTTTATTTACTTTTCTTTTTGAGGTAGAAGACACCATTTTTTTCCCATCTCTTGTGCTCTAATCTGACATAAAATCATTCTCCTCACCCAAAGATGAAAAGCTCAATGATAATATCATGGGAATAATATGGTTGACCAGGTGAGAAACACAGACCTTTCCAAGTGTTATTAGTGGTTTTTGTTTGACCAGTGAAGATCATTCTTGAATGTTATCCCACAATAGAGGATGCTGTTTGCCTCTCCCAGGTGAGCACTGACTGACTGTTGCACATTAGTGGAAAACTTCAGCAGTATTAATCATGCTCTTTTTGTTTGGTATGATGGAGCCATGCTATGAGTTGAGACAGCCATTAGATAGCAACACTCCAGTGGGTTTCAGAGCTCTTCATTGTTCTAACCTACCATTTGGCTGGACAGATTAGCAACACTTTAGAGAGAACTTCCTTCTCTTCACCCACCCCTTGGTAACTGCATTAAAATGATAAAGGAAATCACTGATCGATATGTCTATTACAGGACAGTGAAAAAAATTACCTGGAAACATACAACTCCTTACTGTAATTAGATAATTGTACACTTTGAATGTAGCAAGCACTTGATTTAAACTGCATTTTATAATTTACTAGAGACATGATCTTTCTGTCCTTTAATCAAACCTTCTTTCTCAGCATCCTTGCTGCTATGATCCTACTTTGATGCTATCTTTTTTTTAATTTTTTTAGAAATTTGTCACCTATCCCCATATTCTTCTTTCCTCTCTTGCCTTAGCACACACTTGAGAGTTTATTAATCAGAGTAACTGCATGGTGTGTCATGTTTTATTGTTACAAGTGTGGTTACACTAAAAAAGTGAAAAGGACATCATGGGGTTTAATTTTTTCCCCTCTTTTAATGACTTTTACATACAGTGAATTCAGTTTCTAAGGCAAAAGATAATTTTGAGGGGCTGTTGGTGCCACACATTCTCCATGGATTCTGGAGATACAGCTGTTCTCCCTGCCTCTGACATCATCACTGTACCAGGGAATCTGCATTTGGAACCCAGCTGGTAAGTTTCTTGATTATGGCAGAGCCAGAACAGACTGTGGCTCACTTCTCTGCAGCACATGCCATTGCTGATGTCTTTGCAGATCTATTGCCGAGTCCCTCAGGGGACAGAGCTGTGATATAACACTCTGGCATGTGCACATCACAGCAGTAAAGGTTCTGCGGAGGTCTTCATTCAATAAGACCCTTCTTATTTCTTAGAAACCACACCAAATCATTCTAAAATGATGGAGGGGCTTCCAGGATCAAAGTGGACATGAAAGGTAATAGTTACAATAACAGCTACTATTTATTGTCTATCTTCTTACCAGGAAAGGTAACAGGTTGATTCCTCATAGCAATGCAAGTAGTAGCCTATTTATGTTACAGATGAAGAAAGGCACAACTCAGGGAGCTCACTGTTCCAGGGCTTGATCAGAAAGCTAGT